CCAGGCCTTGGGAGAAATGCTGAAGGGCCACTGTGGGTGAAACAGCCAGTACAGCTAGAGCTGATTGAGGGAGAGGAACATGCAGGAGATGTGCTAAAGAAAAAAAAATTAATATCACTTTAAGACAGGCTTTAGTCAGCAAGACTGTTGCTGGGCAAGGTTGAATCTTAGTGATAGAGTGCTTCTCTAGAATTCTGGGTTCAATCCCCAGGACCAGGTTAAAAATAAACAAAAAGAGCCAGGAACGATGGTGCATGCCTATAATCCCAGCGGCTTAGGAGGCTGAGGCAGAAAGATCACGAGTTCAAAGCCAGCCTCAGCAAAGTAACTCAGTGAGACCCTGTCTCTAAATAAAATACAAAATAGGGCTGGGGATGTGACTCAGTGGACAAGTGTCCCTGAATTCAATCTCCAGTACCTCTCCCTCAAAAAAAAAAAAAAAAAAAAAAGAAAAGAAAAGAAAAGAAAAAAACCCATTGTCATGAGGAGGAACTACTTCAACGGGTGTTGCAACAGGGAAGAGAGATTGGGCTCAGCTCCAAATACAACAAGGGAAAGTAGGAATGTATAGCCAAGGAAAAGGGTAGGGGTTGGTGGATTGAAATTGACTAAGAGGAAACATCAAGGGTATGTTAGTCAGCTTCCTGTCATTGTGAGAGAAAGTACCTGAAATAACCAACTTGTAGAGAAGAAAGATTTATTTTGGCTCACTGCTTTGGAAGCTATAGTCCATGATGGAGGTCCATGGCTTTTGAACCTGTGGCAGGGTAGCACATTATGGTAAGAACATGCAATGAAAGGTGCTCACCTCATGGTAACCAGGAAGCAAGCAAAGAGAGAGGAAGAGAGGGACCAGGGTCCCAGCAGCCCCTCAAGGGCATGCCCCCAGGGACCTCACTTCCTCCCACCAAGCCCTACCTCCTAGAGTTTGCATCACCTCCCAGTAGCACCATGGTCTGGGGACCAAGTTTTTAACACATGGGCCTTTGGGAGACACTTACCCAAACCAGAGCAAAGAGTAAAGGGGGATTCTGGCTCAACAGACCTCCTAGGATTCTTCCTGAAGACAGGGGGCTGATCAGACATCACTTGGGGATGATGGGGGATAAAGAACCTGATCAGATATTGAAGGTAGCTAGATAAAGAAGAAGTGTCTGGGGGTGGGGGTGGGGGTTCTGGCTAAACTGACAGGCTTTTTGCTAAAATTGGGCTATGCAGGCCTGGCAAGAACAGACACTGAAAGCTGAGGTCTATTTGGGAAGAAAATTCCGAGGATCCAGACTATAGTTTGGTGGAGAGAGTCTATCAGATGTATCAGGGAGAAGGAGGGTGCCAGACCACACTGGGTCTGGTAGGACATGGTAACGTCGTGGGATTCTGTTCTCAGTGACATGGGAAGCTGTTGGAAGATGTGAGTAGAGGAGTACATGATGAAACTTAAGTTTTTAAAAGCTCAGTCTGGTGTTAAGTTTTCTGAGTTCTTTATATATCCTAGAGATTACTGCTCTATCTGATGTGCATGTGGCAAAATTTTTCTCCCATTCTGTAGGCTCTCTCTTCACATTAGTGACGGTTTCCTTTGTTGAGAAGAAACTTTTTAGTTTGAATCCATCCCATTTACTGATTCTTGATTTTATTTCTTGTGTCTTTGGAATTGTGTTAAGGAACTCAGGTCCTAAGCTGACATAATGAAGATTTGGGCCTACTTTTTCTTCTATTAGGAGCAGGGTCTCTGGTCTAATTCCTGGGTCCTTGATCCACTTCAAATGAGTTTTGGGCAGGGTGAGAGATAGGGGATGCCCTTCAACAGATGAATAAATAAAGAAAATGTGGTCTGTATACACAATTGAATGTTACCCTTAAATAAGAATGAAATTATGGCATTTGAGATAAATGGATGGAGTTGGATAATATCATGCTAAGTGAAGTAAGCCAATCCCCCCAAACCAAAGGCCAAATGTTTTCTCTGATATGCAGATGCTTATCCATAATGTCAGGGTGCTAGGGAAGAATGGAGGAACTTTGGATTGGGCAGAGGGGAGTGAGGGGAGGGGAGGGGAAGTGGGTGTGGGAAGGATAGTGGAATGAGACGGACATTATTACCGTATGTACGTGTATAATTGTATGAATGGTGTGATTCTGCATCATGTACAACAAGAGAAAAGAGAAGCTGTTGGAAGATGTGAGTAGAGGAGTACATGATGAAACTTAAGTTTTTAAGTTTCTGTCAGGGGCTAGAAGGAAATTCTCCTTCAAAGAATAGCCTGAAACTTACAAGAAACAGCCCCCTGGGAGACATCCTGCCTGGGAGACACCCTGCAGCCATCTATCTCCCTGAGACATCCTGCGGCCACCTATCTTCCTGAAACATCCTGCGGTTATCTCACCTTGTGCAGACATCCAGCAACTGCCGATAAGAGAGCTTCCCCATCCCCAGCATACAAATACCCCTGTGTGAACAATAAAAGTTTGCAGCTTGATCAGAACTTTTGTCTTGCTGTCATCCTTCTGTGTCTCTTGTCCCTTCATTCCTCCCCATCTAGGTTCGCTGCCCACGTTGATGTGTCCTGCCGGTCGGGACAGTGCTCCATTTCTGGACAATGAGTTGAAAAGTATTCTGATGTCATGTATAACTAATTAGAGAGAAAAAAAGCTCATTCTGCCTGCAGAGCTGAGAATGAACTGTCAGAGCACAGACTGAATTAATTGGGAATCTCTTAGATAGTCTAGGTGAAAGGTGATAGTGGCTTAGGCCTGAGTATTGGCAGTGAAGGTAGTGAGAAGTGGCCATTGTCTGAATACATTTGAAGATTCATCCAGCTTTTTGTTTTTTGTTTAGAGACAGGGCCTCACTGAATTGCTTATGGCCTCACTAAGTTGCTGAGGCTGGCTTTGAACTCTGAATCCTCCTGCCTCAGCCTCTCAAGCCACTGGGATTACAGGCGAACACCACCTTGTCCGGCTAGGTCCAGGTTTTATAGGGCTCAAAGCTGACATAATCTGGAAAGCCCAATTTGAAGAAATGAATATCAAACTGATCCACAGAATGAGAGTGACCATTGCAAGGAAATCTTAACCTGGGGTCCATGGACTCCCCTTCCCACCTTCTATGGGTAAAATTCAGGAATGCACTTGAGTAGACAAAAAAATGCATGTTAATTTTCATCAGCCTCTAACAGAAATCTAGCACTATCTTCAATTATAAATGTAAACAGTACACAGCTGTGACAGCACTACCTATGACTCTGTCACTAATAGACATCACATATGATAGCACAGTGGTGTAGAAAGCTTGGGTTATCACTAATGCCCTATAACATTTCAGTGGTTATAGGGCCTGCCATGAATCTTCCTATTTAGTGCACTAAGAAGCAAATTTACTAGAATGTCATAAATTTGTTACTTTAATATTGTGATAACTGCAAGTGTAGTTGGTGTCTTTTGTAATCATATGTATTATATTTTATACATTTTAAAACATCCTTGTGAGAAGAGGTACATAGACTTCATCAGACTGCCACACACACACACACACACACACACACACACACACACACACACTTAAACCCTTGATTTACTGGGAGAAAACAAATCACACAAAAAAATCAAATTTTGAAAAACTGACAGATATCCAGAAAGACAAAATAATATTTTTATGAATGGTCTACCACATCTCAATATTTTTCCCTACTTTTTAAAGTGCAAACTGCTTAGCCACCTCTTCATTCTACAGATATTTACAAAAACATATGTGCCATGCAAGAGGGGTTCCAACTTCTCTCAAAAACTCAAAAAGATCTGGCAGTGCTGGGCCCTCTTCCCAGTATTCATACAAAATGACTTTGGAGCACAATTTTATATGGAATTTTATTCACACGAGGAGTGGATGACTTTCCTGTATAATAGATTCTGGCTCCATCTGTTTTATTTTGTACTTCGTTTCCTGTCCAGTTTACTTCCTATACTGGGTCTTGGAAGTTTATATCATGAAGGGAACTCTGACATGACTCCTGTACTAGGGGTGGCACCCAGGGGTGCTCTACCACTGATCTACACCCCCAGCCCTTTTTTATTTTATTTTGAAACAGGGTCTCACCAAGTTGCCCAGAATGACCTGGCATTTATGATCCTCCTGCCTCAATCTCTCCAGTTGCTAGGATTACAGACATGCCACTGCTGCCCAACTTGACCTCTAACCTTTTAAGTCACTTCTGAGTGATTTGTCATAGTGGGTGGTAGGAGAATTTCAGAAAATCATTCCTGTGTCTGCATAGCTGGTCATAATTTCACCAAGCATGTGGATGACTGCAGATCCTGTGCACAGAGCCCACTCAACACCAACTAACTGTACTCAGCTCACCTTCCCTTCCCTTGGATTCCAGAAATGCCTGTAGCCACTTCAGTGCCACCCAGTCACAGAGGGAGAGTGACAGAGAGGAAATCAAGGTAAACAGATATAATATCTTTCATTTGTAAATTTCACATGAACGTTTGGTCTTGGAAAGGCCCAGGCAGGATCACTAGCTTTTCCCTTTCAGGGCTACAATCCTCTGCAGCTAGGTTAGGAGTGACCCAGGGCAGATGTTCATTGTGACCTTTCACATCCCAGCCTGCTTTTATTGCATGATGTGACCCATTAGCACCAGTAGCCACTGGAGTTTGTAGCCCCTGTGACCTGTTTCTCTGGCCCCCCAAAAACTTTAACAGTACCTCTAAGTGAAGGCTGTTCAGCCCTCACTGAGATTGGAGTAGATAGAATAGCTGTAGTTAAACATGTTTGTCTTAAGTTGGAGAAAAATCTAGAACATTTGTTAAAGTTTAACACAGCAAGGGGCTGAATATATAAAAGAGCAGTTTAACCAAAGTTCTGATGTATGCGTCCAGGGTACGGTGGTGTGTCCTGACTGAGGAGGATGAGGGAGCCCTTCTAAGTGGCAATTTCTCTGGATCTTGAACAGTGAATAGCTTTGGGGCGGTGGGGGAGGGGCGGGCGGGATGTAGCTCCATGGAAGAGCACCTGCCTGAGGTGGGGTGGGGGCAAAATGGCCTAAGCAGTAAGAAATGGATGCAGGGAAGTGGAGGCTGTGTTGGGGGATGCAGGAGGTCAGCAAGGAAGAGGCTGGAAAAATGTGTCCTATTGTCTCAGATGAGGAACACCTATAAAAACTTAAATATAGTATGTAATATGTAATTATATAATGTGTAATATTATAAAATTATAATATAATATTAACTAATATCTTAATATATATAAGCTTCAGATTATGGTTTCCTATCTCTTTTAATGCATTTATGTCAATGTTGTTGAAATATTTGCAGAATTGAAAACTTTGGACTTAATGGGTTAAGTTATTGGAAACTTGTAAGGACTAAAATGTTAATGATTAATAATCTGTTAATATGTAACCTGCTGGGAGTGCCAACACTTTTTAAAAGGACTTTGGAGCCTGGAAGACTTTGGCTCAAAGGTAGTTGGCTTTATTTTTTTAATCATGGAAAATTTCAATAATATAATATACCCTATGTATTCATCTTTTGGCTTCAGTAATTAATCACTCAGAGCCAATTGGGCCTCATCCACATTGCCATTCGCTTCTCCCTTTCTATATTGTTTTAAAATAAATCTCAGAAACAATGTTATCTGAAAGATTAATACTCTAAAAAAACCCATAATATCATCAATTTTTTTTTGCAGTTTGTTTCAATCAAGATCAAAATGAAATCCATACATGCCAATGGTTGATCTGCCTTTTAAGTTTTTGTCTTTTTTTCTTTCAATGTATTTGTTAAAACAAAAACACACCCAAGTTGTTTGTCCTTTAGAATTCCCCAGAGGTAGGACTTTGGTGATGGCATCATTGTCTTGTGGCTTAATGCTTCCCCATCTCTGTAGTTGCTGTAGTTTGCTTTGTGGATATTGATCAAATTCAGGTTCGATCTTTTGGACCATTTTGTTGATGGCATTATGTTCCCCATCAGGAAGTACGTCATGAAAACCTAGTTGTCTCTTTTTGCAATGTTTCTACTCATTGATAATATCAAGATAGAAATGGATTTTAATAGTGGAATTTCGGTATACAAGAAGTTCAATAGGCACAGCTATTTTGGAAGACAGAGAAACAGATGTTTTGGTACTTCTTATATGAAATCTTAATCATACAAAGAAGGCAAGTTTTAATATTTTTTTTCATATAGCATTGGCTGCATTATTCAGTGGACATTGGCTGAGTGCCTACTATATACAGAGAACTGAAGTAGGTGGGTCCTATGGAGATCATGGGATTGAATTGGATATAGAACCTGTGATCAGGAGTATCTAGGATCCAGCAGAAGAGACAAGAACTCTGATTCAAGATAAAAGAGATCATCACCATAAGAATGGTAGAGGTAAACATCTGACTTTCTGAGGGGGCCGGTCAATTCTAACTGGGGGGAAAAAGAGGTCTTTGTGGAGTCCCATGAATACTCCCATCGAGCTGATCTGGGTGTGATCTGGAAAGAAAATGACAAAAAGAAGGGCATAGAGGCAGGAGATCCTAGGACATGTCTGAGAAAACGTGAATAGTTCCGTTCGGCTCAAAGGAGGGTAAGAATCACGGGAAATAGAGTTGGAAAATTGGGTTTGGAGTGAAATATCCACCTACCATACTGCCCAACCATTCCTCTCCTAGGCTTTTACTCAAGAGAAATGAAATCCATGTCACTCGAAGGTTTATGCACAATGTTCACAGTAAGCAGAAATGAGAACAGCAGCAGGTTCATCTGGGAGCACCACACTGCTGTCTAGAGGGAAGAGGTCCTGAGGTACCCAGCAACGTGGATCCTCACCTGTCATTAATGTGATTGTGAATGGAAAAATATGTGTGAGGGGGAGACTGGCTGTTTTGGGGGGTTTCGTTATTTTCTGTACAGAAAGGTTGAAAAATACAAAATTTGGAATTGTTAAGTCTGACTGCAGTCTTGACTTGTCAAAATAAAGACACATTAAAAAAATAAAGAATGAGAGGAAAATGCAGAACTAATCTATAGTGACCAGAGCAGTGGCTGCTTAGAACTGGGGACTTAGGGAATCCTGGGGGCGAGGTGGATGGGGAAAGTGATGGAAAGGCTTTGTTGCTGTACCTTGATGGTGTAAAAACATTTCATGTGCAAAAACAATCCATTGAAACTCATTGGCTATACACTTTAAATGGATGCCACTTATTGTACATAAGTTATCCATTGATAAAGCTGATTTTTAAAGGCACATTTGGGACACATTGTAGAGGTTTTTGAAAGGCAGGCCAAAGTTCTGCAGGCTTTTGAAAAGGAGGGCGAAATGATTGTGTGGCCAGATTCCAAATTCTAAACTAAGCTCAGGCCAAACAGTTACACAACATGTATAGTCCAAAGTCCAGGAAAGAAAGCATTTAGTGATTTTAAGGAAATTTGACAGAATAATTTTTGTTTATTGAATCTAAAAATGAAATCTAATACTCTAATAATATAAGTTGGAAACTGTATTTTATATGTTTTTATTTCCAGCCAACATTTCTAGTAATTCATGTTTATTGCATTTACAAAACAGTTTTTATAGACCAGATTGGACATTTAAAGAAAACCAACCCTTCACCACACCGTTTAGAAAGCACCAGCTTCAGAAGAGTGCAAGGCAGCCAGGCACAGTGGTGTATACCTGTAATCCCAGGGACTTAGGGAGGCTGAGGCAGAAGGATTGCAAGTTTGAGGCTAACCTCAGCAATTTTGTAAGCCCTAAGCAATTTAGCAGGACCTGCTCAAAACAAACAAAAAATACTAAAAAGGTCAGAATGTTGCTCTGGGTTAAAGGAGCCTTGGATTTCAACCCCAGTACCAAAAAAGAAAAAAAAAAAAAAGAGAGAGAGAGAGAGAGAGAGAGAAGAAGAGGAAGAAGAATGCAAAACAAGGTTTTACCTTTCTAGTTTATGTAGGATTATTGAGAAAGAAACAGTGTGTTAATTAAAAACTGGCTGTAGCTAGGCCCGGTGGCACTTACCTGTAATCCCAGAGACTCAGGAGGCTGAGGTAGGAGGATCTCAAGTTCAATGCCGGCTTCAGCAATTTAGGAAAGCCCTAAGCAACTTAGTGAAACCCTGTCTTAAAATAAAAAATTGAAAAATGGCTAGGGATGTGGCCCAGTGATTAAGCAATCCTGGGTCCAACTCCTGGTACCAAATTTTTTTTTTAAATAAAAATAAAAGGTTGGCTATAAAGAGACTTGAGGTTTGTGCAGAGTGGAAATGTAGAAGGAGTGTCAGCAGCTGGGGCAAGTGGCTTTCAAGTGGCAAAGTAATACAGCCCTCCTGGGTTCAAAGTCCTGCAGTGCTCCCAGAAAGTCGTTCTATATTCAGATTAAAGTCTAGGCTGCTATTAAATAAAAAGGAACAAAACAACGGAGGGGAAAATAGAAGCTTTCTTCTTCTTTTTCTAACCTCCTGCTATAAGCTGGAGGGAGAACTACTTTCAGATGTTTTAAGAAGTTATGTATCCTTAAGGAAAATGTTATGAAGAAATATAAGGAAGAAGAGGAAAGTCTAATGTCATAAGACACTGCGGAAAAATGTCACTGTGTAAGAGCTCCATACGTGGTGGGTGACAGGACTTGGGCTTTGTGCCTAACAGCACACCACGTGGTTATATAACATACCAACACACACTCTCCTTTGGAGCCTGGCTGCCTTGCACAATGACCCACAGCCTGCAGGGACCACACCCCCGAGGAGAAGACGAAAATAGGTCTATTCTTCAAGCAGAAAGGTGATCAGGGAGAAAACGGCCCTTTAAACATAGGGAGCAATTTCTCTTCTAAGACAAGTAACCTCTGACTGGAGTCTCCCTGTTTGCCCAGGTCCAGGCCTGTGCAGGCAGTCAAGAAAGCACTTTGGAGATTTTAACCATGTTAAATGAAATAAATTATGTAAAAATGTGTGTCATATATAAAACATAGTACAAATGCAGGAAGCTATGCAGAGTTTCCGACACCCCCCAGAAGCGTCTTTTTCACAACACACAACCACATGCTAATAAGTGTTTGCTGGTGACATAAATTGTGGCAATCACTGCAGTTCTAAAGATCAGAACCATTCCTTCTCCTCTGAGAGAGTCGCCCATTACCAAAATAAGGCTGTGCACCAAACCACCCCCAAACTTAGTGGCTTAAAACAACGTCACTTGTTTAAGATTTTTGTGGATCAGCAACTTAGGCTGAGCTTAGCTGGGCAGTTCGGGTCTCAGGTGGTTTGGGGAAGACCTACACAATCCTCAGCTATCAGCCACCAGGTCCACTGGCCACTATCACCCACCGGGTCCACTGGCCACTCAGGGGTGGTTTCCTCAGCTGGCACCATCCGTCTTCTTCTGCTTGGTCTCTCCTCCCCAGCAGGCAGCCCAGGAGTGTTCTTGTGGGGAGACAGTGTTTGGAGAGAGAGATTAGATGGACTCACAAGGTCTCTGGAGGCCTCGTCTTGGAACCGTCACATCATCAACACTTCTGTTACAGTCGCACTGTCAAAACAAGTCACAAGGTTGGTGAGAAATAGATTTCATGCCTTGGAGAAAAAAGTTACAAAGTCTCATTGCAAAGGGCAGGATCCAGAGAGGCCATTGATGCTACCGGTATCACCTATCCCAACTGAAACATTTCAACCTGGCCTTTGTTGAAGTTGGGTGAGCCATCTTTTTCTAAGAAGGAATATAAACAAGCTGCCTCTGATCAATATAATGAGGGAGGTGAGGTTGGTCCAATTATGTTTGGCTTCAGTTGGAACTAAATCTCAGTGGGAGGTTAGGCAGAATCCAAGACACACCAGGGTGGGGTGACAGTGAGAAAATAGAATGAGGGCCCAAGCAAGCAGAGAAGGAAACGATATACTGCAAACATCTGAAGTCTCCAGAGAAACCATCAAGTCACAAGATTCAAAGACTTTACCTACCTGCCACTCAACAGATGAATGGATAAAGAAAATGTTGTACACATACACAATGGAATATTACTCAACTGTAAAGAAGAATGAATTTATGGCATTTTCTAGTAAATGGATGGAACTGGAGACTATCATGCTAAGTGAAATAAGCCAATCCCCAAAAAAACCAAAGGTAGAACATTCTCTCTGATATGCAGATGCTAACATAAAATGCAGGGGTGCAGGATTTCATTGGATTAGACAAAAGGGAATGAAGGGAAGGAAAGAAGGATTGGAATAGGAAACACAGTAGAATGAACTGGATATAACTTTCCTATGTTCATAAATGAATGCACCACCAATGAAATTACACATCATGTACAATCACAATAAGGAGTTCCTGATTAGAATAAGTTATACTCCATGTATGTATAATATGTCAAAACACACTCTACTGTCATGTATATCTAAAAAGAACAAATAAAGGAATTTTTTTTAAAGACTACCTACTATCTTATGCTTTGATGCAGCCCTGACCTCTGTGAAGGGATAAATGTTCCAGAACGGTTTCTCTCTTTGCCACATTGATCATTCCATAAAAAACGTGTTCACAGGGAAGTCCTGTCAGTGCCTGATGGATAGCCTGGGTGGTAGTTGGGAAATTCTTCTATTGTCCATCTGGAGCACCCTAAGACTGGATCTTCTTAGCTCCTCTCAGGAGGGAGAAGACAATGGCCTCCGATGTCTTTAGCATTGGCAAATCACAAAGGTGATTTATATTTATCTATCTATATCTATATCTATGTGTATGTGTATGAGTATGTGTGTGTGTGTGTGTGTGTATATATATATATATATATATATATATATATATATATATGTTTTTATATATATATCCTTTTTTTATCCATTCATCTGTTTAAGGGCAGCTAGGTTGGTTCCATAGTTTAGCTATCGTGAATTGAGCTGCTATAAACACTGCTGTGGCTGCTTCACTGTAATATGCTGATTTTAAGTCCTTTGGGTATAAACTGAGATGTGGGATAGCTGGGTCAAATGGTGGTTCTATTCCAAGTTTTCTGAGGAATCTCCATAACGCTTTCCATAATGGTTGTACCAATTTGCAGTCCCACCAGCAATGTATTAGTGTACCTTTCTCTCCATATCTTCAAGAATATTTATTGTTGTTTGTATTCTTGGTAATTGCCATTCTGACTGAGGTGACATGAAATCTAAGTACTTTTGATTTGCATTTCTCTAATTGCTAAAGATGTTGAACATTTTTTCATATATTTGTTGATCCATTGTATTTCTTCTGTGAAGTGTCTGTTCAGTTCCTTAGCCTATTTATTGACTGGGTTTTTTTTTTTTTTTTTGTGTGTGTGTGTGTGTGTGTGTTAAGTTTTTTGAGTTCTTTATATACCCTGGAGATTAATGCTCTGAGTACATGTGGTAAAGATTTTCTTGCGTTCTGCAGGCTCTCTCCTTATGTTATTGATTTTTTTTTCTGAAAAGAAGCTTTTTAGTTTGAATCTGTCCCATTTATTGATTCTTGATTTTACTTCTTGCATTTTAGGAGTCTTTTTCTTCTGTTAGGTGCAGGGTCTCTGGTCTAGTGCCTAAGTCTTTGATCCACTTTGAGATGAGTTTTGTGCAGGGTGAGAAGTAGGAGTTTAATTTCATTTTGTTACATGTGGATTTCCAATTATCCCAGCACCATTTATTGAATAGGCTATGTTTTTGGTGCCTTTGTCTAGTATAAAACATACTCTTTTTAAAAATAGTTTATATATATATATATATATATATATATATATATATATATATATATACACACACACACATACATATACACATGTATCTGCATCTGTATATGTTTATATATTTTCTTTTTGACACCAGGGATTGAACTCAGGTGTGCTTAACCACTGAGCCACATCCCCAGCCTTTTTTAAAATATTTTATTTTGAGACAGGGTCTCACTAAGTTGCTTAGGGCCTCAGTAAGTTGCTGAGCCTGGCTTTGAATTCACGATGCCTCAGCCTCCTTAGCTGCTGGGATTATAGGCGTACACCACCACACCCAGCAGTTGAATATATTTTTAATTTAAAATATTTTTATTTTTACATGTATACATGTAATAATTATTATATATTTATGGGGAGCAGTGTGATATATCAATACATGTATATATGCAATGTGCAATGATCGCATCAGGATAATTGGCATACCCATCACCTCAGACATTTATCCTGTTGGGAGCATTTAAAATCTTCTCTACTAGCTATTTGAAATATACAATTAATTGTCATCAACTATAGTTATCCTCCTATCCAACTGCACCCCTGTACCCATTAACCATCCTTTCTTCATCCCCCTCTCCCTTAAAACATGTTCTGTGCATGTGTGTGTGGTACTGGGGGTTAACCCAGGGGCCCTTTACCACTGAGCTATATCCCAACTCTTTTTAATTTTATTTTGAGACAAGGTCTCACTAAGTTTCTGAAGCTGACCTCAAACGTGTAATTGTCCTGCCTCAGCCTCCTGAGTTGCTGGGATCACAGGCATGCACCTTCATACCCGGTGCCTAAAATATATTATCAAATCCTTTTTTCGTGGCTGCACCAAAGTCAGAGAACAGTGCACAGGCATCCTGTGTGTTGTGCTGATTCACAGCAGAGACCAGTATTCTTAGAATTTCTCATGGTGAAGGTACCCCCATATATCTTCCATTTACCAAATGAGTCAACAAGGCATGTATCAGTATCTTTGCTATGTGAAGATTCTGAGGCTTGAATAGATGCTGCAAAAGGGGTGAGACTTTAGTTAGAACCCAGATTTCAAAATAACACCACTGCACTCTAGCCATTCCTCGTGCCCTCTTCCAGACTTAGAAGTCTGCCAAACTGATGCAAAAGGATATCTTTCATTTGTTTTAGCAGATCTAAAATGGAATTTCAAAAAAAGAAAAAGGAATTGAGAAAGAAAATATCTACAGCTCAAATCAGATTCTGAAACATCTGGTGTGCAAAGTGAGAAAAAGGTATCACAATGCAAGTTCCTGTGTGTGAATCCAAAATCTAACAGCAGTGGTGTATGCATGGGAGACAGACCTACTTTGCAGCAGAGGTCATGAAAAAATAACTTAGGAGTTTAGCTATCAGAAAGCTCAATATGAGTCATCTGTGTGATATCATTACCCCCAAAAAGCAATTTTAGGTTGCCTTAAACTATTATTGCTCTAAGATATTATGTGGAAAAGGAGGCCATCCACACTTGGAGAAATGCAGGGCATTCAAGACTACTTGGTTAGGAGGGATTGAATCAAGGGTCCTGAGCATGGGGTGGGATCATTAGTTGACTTATAAGACTCTTTTCTACACTGGTGCTTTGTATTTGTTTTAGCAAGAGAGCAGCAACCGCAACCCAGCCATGCTGGCTATTTTCCTTTAAGTTATGCAATGGACTCATTTCCCTCCCATGATTTCAGAAGTAGTGGCTCTTCAACCTTCAACAGGTAGAATTCCCAGAGGAGCTATAAAAATGATGGACATTCTGAACTGTGCACAGTGGTCCATGCCTAGAGTCCCAGCTACTTGGTAGATGTGTCTCTGTATGGTGTGTCTGTAGGTATGGTGTGTCTATATTAGCTTTCCATATGTTTATCAAGTACTTATAGTTCCTGCTCTGAGAATTCTCTGATTATACCCCTTGCCCATTTTTTTCTACAGGTTTCTGGTCTTTTTTCTTATTGATTTGTAGTGCTTGGAGATAATCCTCCATGGATCTATCATGTTCTTGCATGGTGAAGGCCTTATTTCAGGAAAAGGACATATTTTAATACAAATAGTCTTAGAAGTTGGAGATTTAGAGGTGTAACTTCTCAGAGGGATCTCAGGGTCAGAATCCCAGAATCACCTTCCCTGTCTGCTCCAGAGATTAGTTTACAATCCAGGGTAATGAGTAATGTCCCCATTCAGGGGAACAGCTATGCTAGCAGCTGTATAGAAGCTCAGGGTCTCCTAATTTGGGGCCATGTGCAGTGGCATCTGACCATCACATGACCTTGGGGGATGGGGCATAGGAACCAATGCAAGATGTTGCTGTCTGCTATTTTAGCATGAGTAATAAACCGTCTATATCTTTGACCCAGATGTCTGTGTCTTTGGTTGGAATATGTTGAATAAGGAGGAGTACTTGAGCCCAGAAGCTGGGTAAGCCTGGACAGCATAGTGAGACTTGTCATTTAAAAAATGAAAGTTGGTCGTTGTGATTCAGTAGGTATGGTGTGTCTATATTAGCTTTCCATCATCACAACAAAATACCTGAGATAATTCACTCATAAAGAGAAAAGGTTTACTTTGGCCCTGTTGCTTGGCCAAACAGCACATCGTGGTAGGAGTGCATGGTGGAGCAAAGTCCCTCAACTTATCTCCAGAAGTGAAGAGAAAGAGACTGGGGTCCTACAATCCCCTTCAAGGGCACACCCACAATGAATTAATAATCTCCCACGAAGCCCCATCTCCTAAAGATCCCATCACCTCCCTATAGCCCTCCCCTGGGGACTAAGCCTTAGCACCTAGGTCCTTGGGGGACACTCAT